CCAACACCTAGACCCAACATCCAGAACCAACACATAGAACCAACACCTAGACCCAACATCCAGAACCTACAGCTGGACCCAACACCTATACCCAACACCTAGAAGCAACACCTAGACCCAACACCTATACCCAACACCTAGAAGCAACACCTAGACCCAACACCTATACCCAACACCTAGAAGCAACACCTAGACCCAACACCTAGACCCAACATCGAGAACCGACACCTAGAACTGACACCCAGAACCGACACCTAGACCCAACACCTAGACCCAACATCCAGAACCAACATCTAAACTACACCCAGAACCAACACCTAGACCCAACACCTAGACCCAACACCTAGAACCAACACCCAGACCCAACATCCAGAACTAACACCGAGAACCAACAGCTAGACCCAACATCTAAAACCGACACCTAGACCCAACATCGAGAACCGACACCTAGAACCGACACCCAGAACCGACACCTAGACCAAACACCTAGACCCAACATCCAGAACCAACACCCAGAACCAACATCTAGAATCAACACCGAGAACCAGTTAACTCCAGGTTCTGGTTCTTACCAATGATCCACGTCAACATTTAGTCTGAACATCTGAAACCTGGAACCTTGTCTGGTCCAACTTCTCTACATCAGGTTCTGCTGACGTTAGAGCCTCAACAGTTTAATGAAATGTGACCAAAGACTGGGTTCTAGTAGAACCATGGATCCATCCATAGATAAACTCAGAGGAACAGACTATATTTGCAGCAGGAGTCACATCAGTAGAAAGTCTGAACGGATCCCCCTCAGAACACGTGATCCGTGATAGTTTCAGCGTTCAGCTCCTGAAACCCGGTCGGACTCAGTCCGGCAGCGTTTCACCGGATCAATGAGGTAAAACGGAGCTTCAGGATCTGGACTCAGTTTAATATGAAATCATGGATTCTGCACTTCAGCTGCAGCTCGGATTCACTGCAGTGAACAGAGACGTCACAACGGTGTAGAACCATCCAGAACCACGGTCCAATTGTCCAGGTAACAGTTACCGTGTTCTCCTGGTACTGGCACCGTGCTTCAACTCTGTTGTTTTTAAATGTGCTTTATGAATAAATGTGAGCAGGATGTTCTGATCCAATCAAAGCAGTCCAGAACTGATCAGTAACAATGTGGATTTTATAAATGGTCATTTGTTCTTTTACAACATTTGACCTTCACATTTAAAATCAGTAAAGTACCATCATCTGAAAGAGAAGATCTGTGTCCTGATGATTTAGAACCGCTCCAGCGTTCTGTCCCGTGACCTGTTGTGTACGTCTGTGTTTAAAGCAGCTCCAGACACCTCCATGTCTTCACCATACATACGTATAATAAAGGCCAGATGTCTTAAGGCGGCGTTTCGAACGGGATCACTGGCGGCCATCTTGGTTCAGGGCAGCTCTCTGGCAGAACCTGTGGTCCGTGAAGGAAGGTGAGTGATCTGCACAAACGGATACTCTGTTCTCTCTGAAGTCTGGACGGATTTACAAACGGTTTGATTTCTGACAAACGTTATTAACGTGGCTACAGTTCAAATTACAAAATACACATAAAATACTAAATAATTAAAATACTAACTGTCGCTGGCTGTGAGAGTGTAACATCATTATCCATCAGTTATAACTACACCTCTGACGTTTAGAACAAACCAAACCGTCTGGAAATCGGTAGAAAACTGAGCAAGTTGTGGTTGTTTAAAAAGTCCATGCACCACCACAACACAATGCTATGGGTGAGCGAGCACACCGAGCCAAGATGGCCGCCAGTGTGGCCGTGCGATTCCATTGGCCGACAGCGCGGACGCGACATCAGGCCTTTATTATACATGATCTCCTCTCCTAAGTCTCCTGTAAAACGTTCTGGGGCTGAATTCTTAGAAGTTTGATAAATGTCAGATAAAGTTTGATCAGCCTCAAAACGCTGCTTTAAAAAGAAACTTTGAACCAGATTGAAGAAGTCTAAGTATGAAACCACGGATCAGGACGTCTCTGGTCACTGATGTCCATCTTTTCAGACTGCAGCAGAACCTCAGACTCCACAGTTTCAGCTCAAACTCAGCGGTTCTGTCCAAATACTGAGAGTCTGAACCGAACACATCGGACCTTACTGCACTGAAATCATTAAACCTGCGCAGTGTTCAACCGTCTCCCTCCATGGATTCAATGTGACGCACGTCAACTTTCACCTGCTGATGAAGCTCATCATCATCATCATCATCACCTCAGCTTCAGACACAAAGTGATGAATTCTCACTGAAGAATAAAACCACAGAGCAGCATGCTGTTAACACACACACACACGCGCACACACACACACGCGCACGCACACGCACACGCACACACACACACACACACACACACACACATTTTGGCAAAACACTCCTCGGTAGTTTAAACTCGTCCTCAGCAGCAGCTTCATGTTCAGAAATCAGACGAGCAGGAGGGACGTGAAGCGATGGCGCCAACATGGCCGCCAACATGGCCGCTGTGGCACTAAAAGCAAAGGACTGATATGAGCTCGGTTCCTCGCCGCTGCTCCTCTTCTTCTGCTGCTGAAAGTAAGGCAGGAAGAATCGAAGGTGACAGTCGGTGTGCAGCAGCCGCCGTCCTCCGGTCGGACAGCAGAGGGCAGCAGAGACAGACAGACGACGCGACGCTACGTCTTTATGACACTCTGAACACAAACAGACCACACTAGCTGGAGGCTCCGGCGCTCTGCCCGTCTTTCAAAGTGCCGCTGCAGCCTAGAGGAAACGCCGCGGTGGCTCCGCCCCCTCCGCCTACGCCATGTAGATGAAGGTGTTGATGTCCGCCTCGTCCCTCTTGATGTACTTGTGCTCGATGAGCCACTCGATCTGCTCCTTGATCATCTTCTTCTGAGGCAGGAACATGTTCTTCAGGATCTCCACCAGCTCCGTCTGCAGCTGGGCGTTACTGATCCTCTTCCTCATCTTCATGATCTGGATGATGGCCTCCTGCACCACAACACAGAGTTACAGCGACAATCTGTTACAAACACGGCGTACAGAAGTTTCACCATCATGATGACAGTTAGCTCATCAGTTAGCTCATCAGTTAGCCAGACAGTTTGACCACCAGGTAAACTGAGTGGTGACCTGGTGAGGGCTGATTACCCGATAAGCTCTTGTGTTGATCTAGCTAGGGCTGGTTACCAGCTAAACTGTGCTCCTGTACCTGAGTCCTGAGTATTCTGAGCTGAACGATTCCTTCATTTTCCTCTTCTCTCATTCGCTCGGTGGTCAGCTGCAGCCGGCCAATCAGATTGATCTTTCCTCGCTTCTGGACTTTGGCGTTTTTGCTGAGAAAATCACAGACACGAAGATACAGAAGGTGCAGATATTTAAGGTGCTGTTTGTGCCCAGATATCAGATAACAACATGTTCTGAAGGTGCAGCAGAACCTACATGAGGGAGAACTCCTGGTTGACGTAGAACAGTGTGCTGTCAGTGAAGTCTTTAGGAGAACCGACCGGAGGATCATACGACAGCACCTGCCGCTTCAGTTTGGGGAAGGCAACCAGAGACTGAACACACAGAAACAGGTGACAGGTATCAGACAGGTGACTGTGCGCAGCAGGTATTTAGAATGTAAGAACAAAGGGCTGGTTCTGACCCAGAGGGTTCTGCGTAGCTCTGCATCAGGTAGCTCTGTGGCCAGTTTGAGGTTCTCGAAGCTGATTCTCTCTCTGGGTCTCTGGTTCCAGGCGAACAGAACGGCGAGCTGGAAGGTGGTGACCTCCAGGTCGTACTGACCCACCTCGTTCTTGAAGGTGATCTGGAGGAACACAGCAGAACATTCTCTCAGTGGCTCAGTATGAACAGAGTCCAGCAGATCAAAGCCAGGTTCTACAACCAGAGGCAGCTTTTATAAAACGCTGCTGATCCGGTCCTTCATCCGGCTGCTGCTCTTCATCTCATCATGGATAATCCTGGCTCCGCTCAGAATCCCAGTTTAAGCCAAGAAAACATTAAACAAATGTGAGCAAAATAATACAGAGAAAGAAGACGACAGAGACATCTACAGAAGGAATCTACGAGATGACGAGAAAACAGACAATAAGGAGAGAAGAAGCGTGAAAGTGATGAATGTGAGGGAGAAGACTCCAGGAAGACGAGGCTGTCATCTGTTTCTCTGAGACTCACGATGCCGTTGGACATGAGGTGATGCCAGTGGAGTTTACGTCCGCTGTGGTTCCTCTTGTAGAAATCCTCCACCTCTGGGATCAGATCCTCCAGCTCTGTAGGCAGCGACACGAAAACCTTCTCGCTGCTCCGCGACCAGGCGCCGGCGTTCAGGATCTTAATGTTCACGCTGTCCGCTGAGGAAACACAGCGGCAGACACTGAGCTGCTGTGAAGCTGCTGCTGACAGATAACATGTCAGCTGGATGTGCGTGTGTGTGTGTGTGTGTGTGTGTGTGTGTGTGTGTGTGTGTGTGTGTGTTGTACCTGGCAGTGCTAGCTTGTTGTGTTTGTGCATCTCCTTGAACACCTGGTTCAGGTCCTCAGACACCTTGATGTCCTGAAACATTCTGGCCAGTTTGTTGACGTAGTCAGCTGGCATCCCTACTTCCTACAACACACACACACACACACACACACACACACACACACACACACACACACACACACACACACACACACACACACAGATGAACAGCTGGTAAATCAACAG